CATTTTTCCATTTTTTGGTCAGCAAGGTTATGCAAATTCAAAATAGAGAGTAAGGTTGTAAAGAAATAGTAGCTTAGAAGAAAGTTCTAGATATTGGTAAGTAATCTTATTTGCTTATTTCTCTTGATGTTCTGTAATTTGCTACTTTCTGTTTTTTCTCTTCCCATCACAGTTGTGTCAATCAGTTATGCCAGCTGGGGTTGACAAGATTTCCACTTCCCAAAAATACGTATTGGCAAGGCGGCGCCTGGTGAAACTAATAAATAACCGAGCCAAGTTGCTCTCCCTTTGTTCCTGTATCCTTCTAAAATTGAAATGACCCTCAAGGTGATGATCCAGAAAAGCAGAGATAGAAACAGGGTTTTTTTACCTGGATTTCTGACCACTTTGAACAAAAATTCTTTGCAAAAAGTAAATTTGAAATACTGACAATTAACTTACAAGGGTATTGCTCTGCTACTGCCAGAATGTAACGATTTTAAAGTTAATAATTCCTATTTTGAAACCCAGCTAGGACTTTCTGGAATATGCCAATAAAGGAACTGTTACAGTCCAGCTCTTCAATTTTAGTGTCCAGACCCCATAAACATTCACACATGTCCAAATATGGTGGAAGAAATACTTTGAAAAATAATTTTGATGTGCCTGTCATAATAGGAGTTTGTAGTCTAACAGCCAACCTTGCATAAACCTAAATCTCATAAACACCAGTAATTCTATGGAAATAACCAGTCATGCACAAAAGAATTGTCTTCAACAGATCAGAATTTTCCTCTGCAACCTCCCTTGGGAGCGATGTGCTCTTGCACACTTCTCCGTTGTCACCTAAGATGTTCCTGCCGTGCCTGGATTTATAACCTCAGCTTTGCTTTACTGTGTGCAGCTGAGGCACCTTTACAAACCACATGAGCACTCCGTACTCTGCTCTCCTCCTGAGGGCTGGATTGAGGCTCTGCAGGGTGATGAGGACAGTGAGTGTGAGCGATCCATCACTGGGCTGTGGCAGTGTAGGAGGTGACAGGAGGTTGAGCTGACATCTTCAGCTGTTTCCAAGTGTGTGAATATGCTCATATATGTTATACATAATGTACAATCCAAAGACAACCAAATTGGAGTCCTTCACTGAGATGTGTCTGCAGATATCATAGAAATATGTCTCTTCATCCTTTGGCGCCATCTGGAACACTACCTGCTGCACTGCACACCCACTGAGTCCCAAGACCCACTGCTGTCCTCTAGGATGTCATTTAAGAAAGGAAGGCTGCAAGGTAAAATTTCTCAAGCATCAAAATGCCTTTGAATACCTTCTTGTGATTAGCTTTAAAAGTTATTTCCTACTATTAATATCTTGCCTTTTATATTTAATAAAAGAGATTTTGGATTTGGCACACTTTTGGCTATTCCACGGAAGAATTGGCAATACTGATACTGTTTACTCCCAGACTTCTGGAGTATGTGTATTACACATAACCTCCAAAGGAAAGTAAAAGTAACTATTTTTTTTTATTTCTGCCCTTCAAACTAACTAAAGTTCAGCTAATACAATCAGATAATTGATCCAAAATAGTGTATAGGAAAATATTTCAATATAATCTAAGATGAAATTATGAAATAAAGTTAATACTGGTGGTTTTAAAAGTATTTAAAATTTAGAATTAGAGCCACCATTGATTCGCCAGAGGATTTTAAGTTTGTTGAATTTTATCTTTTAAAAAAAGAAAGAAAATGGAAGGAAATCAGGGAGAGTGGATTTGCAGAGGAGTGCCATGTTGTGTGATCAAAATTATTTATGACTCACTGTTTATGTATTTTCTCTAAGTCATTTAAGTAAAAAAAATAGTGTTATTTCTAATGCCTAAGTTTACTTTTGGATCAGATTGGAACACTGTTTTAAATTTGTTATATGACTTGACACAGAGGTAGTGTGGAGCAGCCAACACAATTTTATCATCTTGTTTTCTGTTGCCAGATTCCTTTGGTTCAGAGCCAAGCTTGGATTTCAGTAGTGGACTGAATCGAGTGAGCCAGCACGACATAGACCAGGTGAGATGTGATAGTCTGCTGCAGGGTACAGAAGACTCCTGGCTACCCTGAAGCTATTAGAAGCAGTCTGACTGTTGTTATCCCACTTCTGAACAACCTTCAGTAACACCAACAGCATAGAACTTAATTTAGAATCAGTGAAGCATTACAAAATTGTTTTGGAAAATATTGTGAAACAAGTGGCACTTTTGCTGCTGTGCACATATCTTTGAATCTTAATGTGAAAAGTTAAGTAAAAAATGAACTATACTTATGAAATAATCATTCTTTTTCTCTTACCAACCAGTCAAATGGTGTTTTTTAATAACAGCTTTCCAAAAACACCAGATATCCTTGAAAGACCTGCAACATGAGGGCAATTTTCCCAATGTTCTGTGATCAAACTGTTCACTATGGGTCAGCTTCAGCTAGGCTATAGAGAAATGAGATCAAAACGGTAACAAGAACTGAAGAGACTATAAAATGTGAATGGTAGAAAAGAAGTAATTTCACTTACACAGAAATAAAATAGTTTGTGTAAATTTGATGCAGAAGTGGCCGGAAAAAGATATTAATAAATCTCACTGACATTTCTATGACTATGCAGAAAACAACTTTTCTTCAAAATGGCAGTCTCAAGTACCTTTATTAGATCTAGAACTGTAAGAAAAGTTGCTGTGTTTTATGATGAGGCAGGTGTAATTTATTTTGTTTGTTCAAAAGTAAAGTATACAGTATCATCTTGGTGAAATACTTAAAATGGAGTTAATTCAGTGACTCTTTACATATGCATTAATGAAAAAATGTTGGTGCACAGACTCTCTAAAGAGTCCCTAAAGGACTAGGAAAATTCTAATTGGAAGATGTGTTTGTATGACAATGAGTGAAGAAGCTGAATTATAACCAGTAATGCCTAAAACAGAATAAGCAGTACTTATTAGAGAAAAACCCATTCTTTGGAAAGCAGGTCAGAGAATAAATCATAGTGAAGGGGTTGATAGGCAGTGGATGACAAGCTGGCATTTCAGGAAGAAAAGATTTTGTATTGCTGACTGCATCAAATCTCTGTTTCTCAGCTTCAGATTGAAGCCACAAACAGCTTTGGTGAATCTCTGCAGAAGAAGCTCCTGGACATTGAGGGTTTATACTCCAAGATTCGCTCGCGGTACACCTTTATTCAAGCCCTCGTTAGACGTATCCGTGGTCTCCTAAGGATATCAAGGACCTAAAAGACCTTGGTAGATGCTGCTTGCCCAGTGAAGCTGTGTACTAGGGCAGGCCTTCTGGGTCATTGCATTTTATAGATCAGACATTTTTAAAGTACTGCCAAAATTATTTTGTTACTTTTTTTTATCCCTGTGGATGAGTTTTGTGTATTCTTTCCTACTGCTCCCAACGTGACATAAAAATAAAGGATTCTTTTCAACTGAGTTATGAATAATGTAAAATTTCAAGCAAGAAAGAATTCTAATGGAGGGCCTCAAGGAAACAGGAAGTTCTGCAGCTGTGATGATACTACATTTGTTGATGCTTTCAGAGAAAACTAAAACATCTTTGTCTGTGTTGTTCCTGTTTCACACAGAGATTTAATGAAACCAGCGAGTTCATGTGTCATCACTTGCAGACTAATTACTGTGGTGTGGATTTTATATTCATTTTGCACTGTGAACTGCTAATTTCTGCTTCCCCTCGTCCTACCTTTTATTCAGCTGGAGGAAGTACAAGCTGCTTCTCTTTGACTAAGTTTAAATGAGAAAAGTGATAAAAGTCATGGAAGATAACTGCTATAGGTTTGGTTCTTGTGGCTGGGGGAGTAAAGGTTTCTGTGCTTTTCTTGCTGCAACACAAGTATAAGGACTGAATAAGGTGCATGGGGAGGAAGCCAGTAATCATGAATGGTAGGTTGGTTCTATAGTTAGATTGTTCTCCTATGAGATTTTCATATATCCCTGTATCTTCTGTAAAAAAGCTATTAAAAAAAAGCATAATCATTGATTATTGACATGAGATCTGTTGCACTTCTCCCTTAACTCAGTCTGAGTTTATGGCCCAGTTCATGTGTGCCTTGTACATTGTTTCCTCTGAGTTCTCATTATGTAATGGTTCACATTTTTTATGATTTCATATTTACTTATCTGTGCAACCTTATTACATGGCTGACATAATTTGTATGCAGGGATGACGACACTGCTGCTATCAAGTGAGCCTGTTAGCTAATCCATAGGAGCAGCTTGCTATCACCGTTTTACACAGCTGAACTTCGTTCACTTCCAGCCGGGAATGTTTCTTGTTTCTCCCCCAGTCGGAGGGAAGCAGTCCCTAGCCCACGGACCGTGCTGGCTGCGAGGTTTCCCCCACGCCGCCCTGAGGCAGCAGCGGTGGTTCGGCGCGG